TCTTTTGCCTCAGCCTCCCAAGTAGCTGGGGCAACAGGCACCCGCCACCACCCCTGGCTATTTTTTGTTGTTGTTGTTGTTGTTTAGCAGGCCCAGGCCAGGTTCGAACCTACCAGCCCCGGTATATGTGGCCAGTGCTGTAACCACCTAGTATGGGCACTGAACCTATCTTTTTTTTTCTTTTTGACAGTTTCACTCTCACCCTGGGCAGAGTACTGTGGCATCATAGCTTTCAGTAACCTCAAACTCTTGGGCTCAAGTGATTCTCTTGCCTCAGCCACCCAAGTAGCTGGGACTGCAGGCCACAATGCCAGTCTGTTTCTAGAGACAGGGTCTTGCTCTTGCTCAGGCTTAGAGACAGGGTCTTGCTCTTGCTCAGGCTGATTTCAAATCGGTGAGCTCAGGGCAGTCCACCCAGAGTGCTAGGATAACAGACTTGAGCCACCCTGCCCAGCCCTAGCTTTTTTATTTTTAGCAGAGATGGGGTCTTGCTCTTGCTCAGGCTGGTCTCCAACTCCTCCAAACAGTAATTTTTTTTTTCTTCGCAGTTTTTGGCTGGGGCTGGGTTTGAACCCATCACCTTTGGTATATGGGGCCCAGCGCCCTACTCCTTGAGCCACAGGCACCACCCTGGTCTCCAACTCCTGAGCTGAAGCAATCCACTGCCTCAGCCGCCCAGAGTAATCCTAGCGTTAACAATCATGAGCTACCTTGGCACCCGGCCTTTTTTGATACTTTTAAATTTACATAACGATGCTGCATAACAGGTCAGAAGACTAAACTACAGTTTAGAATTAGATTCATTTCTAGTTTGACTAACCATAAATGAAGGCTATGGGTTTAGGGGTTTGAAATAGTCTCATTCTGTTGCCCTCAGACTGCCATGGCATCATCTCAAAGCAACCTCAAACTCTTGGGCTCAAGAGATCTCCTGCCTCAGCCTCTTAAATAGTTGGAACTATAGCACCACCACATCGAGCTAGTTTTTTTCTATTTTTGGTAGAGATGGGGTCCTGCTCTTGTTCTTGCTCAGGCTGGTATGGAACTTCTGAGCTCAAGCAATCCATCTACCTCAACCTCCCAGAATGCTAGGATTACAGACATGAACCACGGCACCCAACAGATTTCATTTTTTTGTTTTTTAAGAAATAGGGTCTCGGGTGGTACCTGTGGCTCAGTGAGTAGGGTGCCAGCCTCATATGCCAGGTTTGGTGGGTTCAAACCTGGCCCTGGCCAAACTGCAACAACAAAAAAATAGCCAGGCATTTTGGTGGGTGCCTGTGGTCCCAGCTACTCTGGAGGCTGAGGCAAAAGACTGGCCTAAGCCCAGGAGTTGGAAGTTGCTGTGAGCTGTATGACGCCATGGCACTCTACCGAGGGTGATAAAGTGAGACTGTGTCTCTATAAAAAAATAAATAAATAAATAAAAATAAAGAAACAGAGTCTCCCTCTGTTGTTTTAGGCTGATCTGGAACTTGGCCCAAGCAATCCTTCTGATTCAGCCTTCTGAATGTCTAGGATGACAGGCATGTGCAACCATTTCAGGCCCCAATTTTTTGTCTTAGCTTACCATAGTTTGATTTGCTATGGAGGGATTGTTCAAGTTATATATTGATGAAGTGAAAATACTTATTTTTAATTATTTTAAACTTTTCATTTTGAAAATATTTTAGACTTATAAAACAAACATACTGCAAAAACATTATAAAGTATTTCCATGTACACTTATATTTACCAAATGTTAACATCTTACATACCACAGAACAATTGTTGAAATCAAGGGATTAACATTATTACAATGTTATGTATTTTACTACCTTAGACTGTTGTACTACAGATCTTCAAACTTCTCCATTTGGCCCATGCTATACTAGTCAATATCACTTCATTGGTTATCATTTCTTTTAATCTGGGACACTTGGAAGTTTATCTTTAGTGACCTTAGACTTTGTGAAAAGTACAGGCCTATTTGTAGAAGAGCTCTCAGCTTGAGGTTTACTCTCATGATTAAAAGTTTATGCATTCTCAAAGGAGTAAGGCGCTGGCCCCATATGCCGGAGTTGGCAGGTTCAAACCCAGCCCCCGGCCAAAAAAAAAAAAAAAAGTTTATGCATTTTTGGTGAGAATACCAAAGTACTGATCATTTTAGCAAGGACACATGGGTGGCGCCTATGGCTCAGTGAGTAGGGCGCCGACCCCATATACCAAGGGTGGTGGGTTCAAATCCAGCCCCCTGCAACAAAAAATAGCCAAGTGTTGTGGTGGGCCCCTGTAGTCCCAGCTACTTGGGAGGCTGAGGCAAGAGAATAGCCTAAACCCAAGAACTGGAGGTTGCTGTGAGCTGTGATGCCATAGCACTCTACCGAGGACAACAAAGTTGATTCTCCAAGGAGAGGGGAGAGTAGGAAGGTGGATGTGGAATAAAAACTTAACTGTCAGATGAAACCAATTTATAGCTTTCTTATGAAAGCTATAAACCAATTATAGCCCAAGAAGAAGGGGAAAGGGGAGGGGGAGAAGGACAGGGGAGGGAGGGTAATTGGTGGGACCACACCTACGGTGCATCTTACCAGGGTACATGTGAAATTTACTAGGTGTAGAACATAAATGTCTTAACACAATAACTAAGAAAATGCCATGAAGGCTATGTTAACTAGTTTGATGGAAGCATTTCAAATTGTATATAAAATCAGCACATTGTACCCCATGATTGCATTAATGTACACAGCTATGATTTTTTTTAATACAGCTATGATTTAATTTAAAAAAAAAAAAATTACCTGTTAGGAATCAGCGCCCATAGCTCAGTGGTTAGGGTGCCAGCCACATACACCAAGGCTGGCGAGTTCCAACCTGGTCCCGGCCAGATAAACAACAACTGCAACAAAAAAACAGCCAGGTGTTTAGGCGGGTGCCTGTAGTCCCAGCTACTTGGTAAGCAGAGGCAGAATCGCTTGAGCCCAGGAATTTGAGGTTGCTGTGACCTGTGACACCATGGCACTCTACCCAGGGTGACAAAGTGAGACTCTGTCTCAAAAAACAAAACAAAAAAACCCCTACCTGTTAGGTACAATGGACACTGTTCTGGCGATGATCACACCAAAGCCCTGACTTAAGCATTCTAAAAGACATCTACTTCCTTTCCACTGGTGATGCCATCATCCAGTAATTCACCAAGATGAGGATCACAAAGAGAAAGAGGAGAGGTACCTGATACATGTTCTCTAGGCCTTTTAGAAAACATGGAGTTTCAGGCCCGGCGCAGTGTCTCACACCTATAATCTTACCACTCTGTGAGGCCGAAGTGGGTGGCTTACCCTGAGCTCACAGGTTGGAGACGGGCCTGAGCCAGAGAGAGACCCTGTCTCTAAAAAAAGCCAGATGTTGTGGCAGGTGCCTGTAGTCCCAGCTACTCAGGAGGCTGAAGCAAGAGAATCGCTTGAGCCCAAGAGTTTGAGGTTGCTGTGAGCTCTGACGTGACGAGCTCTGACGTGACAGCACTCTACCCAGGGCAAAACGTAGTGAGACTCTGTCTCAAAAAAACAAAAAAGAAAACATGGGAGTTCCTTTGGCCACATACCTACGAATTTATAAGGTGATATTCTAGACATCAAAGGAATGGTACTATTCAAAAAGACATGCCACACAAACATTACCTTGGCACAACTGGAAGAGTCTACAATGTTACCCAGCATGCTGTTGGCATTGTAAACAAGTTAAAGGCAAGATTCTTGCCAAGGAGATTCATGTTCACATTGAGCATATTAAGCACTCCAAGAGGCGAGATAGCTTCCTGAAATGCATGAAGAAAAATGATGAGGAAAAGAAGAAAGCCAAAGAGAAAGGGACCTGGGTCAGCTGAAGCCCCAGTCTGCTCCATCCCGAAAAGCACACTTCGTGAGAACCAATGTTAAGGAGCCTGGACTACTGGAACCTACTCATGGCATAATAGGTGTAAAAAAATAGGCTGGCCAGATGCGCTGGCTCAGGCCTGTAATCCCAGCACTTGGGAGGCCGAGGCAGGTGGATTGCCTGAGGTCATGAGTTTGAAACCAATCTGAGCCAAGAGTGTGCCCCCATCTTTAAAAAATAGGTGGGCACAGGCTCAGCAGCTAGGGTGCCAGCCACATATACTTGAGCTGGTGGGTTCAAATCCAGCCCAGGCCTGCCAAACAACAACTACAACCAAAAATAGCCAAATGTTGTGGCAGACACCTATAGTCCCATCTACTTGGAAGGCTGAGGCAAGATAATCACTTCAGCCCAAGAATTTGAGGTTGCTATGAGCTGTGATGCCACAGCACTCTACCCATGGCAATAGCTTGAGATTCTGTTTCCAAAACAGAAAAAAAAAA